TAAAATTAATCTTTGAACTAAAAATCTCCGCTAAGCTAATGAAACTATTACATCTGTATAGTTAGCAAGCAAAAAGAACTAATATCAAGGAATAGTAAAAGAAATATGAAGTTCATCACTTCCCACCTGAGAGGTCAGCTACCCTGGGTAACCCAACCAGTTTTCAGGAATATGCTCTGGGCAAGATAACAGAGAACAAGATAAATATCGCATCTAAAAATGTTGAAGAAAACACGTTATGTCCAAAACACAGTATCTCTGGGCTGCTCTTCATTTCACAAAGATGTTAAGATCTGAAAATAGTTTTCTATATCTCTAAGTCAGTGGTTCTCAACCTTCCTAATGCTGCGACCCTTTAATACAGTTCCTTATGTTGTAGTGACCCCCAATTTCATTGTTACAAATTGAACATAATTAAAGCATAGTGATTAATCACAAAAACAGTATGTAATTATATATGTGTTTTCCGATGGTCTTAGGCGACCCCTGTGAAAGGGTTGTTCGACCCCCAAAGGGGTCGCGACCCACAGGTTGAGAACCGCTGCTCTAAGTGCTATAGCACAAACCAGGCTACTGTTTCTTCAAATTATATGACGTTTCCCTCAAAAACAAATACCAACTCTATTATAACAAACATTTATCTCAACAAAGCAAATAAGATGCCACAAATCGGCTTTTTTGTTTTGTTTTTTTTTTTTAGATTATCTCATAAAAGCACAGAGACTAGGAGAAAAGAGCAAAACCCGTCCAGTATGGCTTGGCAGGGTTTTATGGCCCCCAGATTGTACTTCCTTACTTCCCAAGAGCCATTCATGAGATTTGTTGCAATGATGACTCAAATTATACATAAATTTTAATCTGAAAGTAGTGTCTGTTGCCCTCTTGAGGTAAATTGAAGAACAGAAAGAAAACAATGCTATCTTTGCCTAGAACATTACAGAGAGAAGCTTTCTTCTCCAAAGGGCTTTTTCTACAAACATATTGTGCTCTGAAGCTAGCTAGTTGTAATATAAAACTCCATTTTCACCCCAATAACAGATAATTTACAAATACCACTAGGCATCAGAACATTTCTGCAAAAATAAAGCTAACCTTTACACCAAGAATAAAGGGAAATTTTTAAAGCTTCAATGGATGAAAATGTCAAACCAGGTGCATCCTAAAAATTCATTATGCAGCTCTTCAGTAGGCCTAGCTCATATGATTCAGGGGACCCAAACTGTAGACTGAAAAGCACTGTGGCAAGCTTTTATAGGGCTTGTGGGGGGTTGGGGGGCAAGGCAAATCCCATATATTTTTATAGTTCAATTCCACTTAATATGCAAGGTCTGCAACACAAGAATAGCTGCACTGAAAAGAAAAAGTATGTAATATATAAGCGTAGGTAGAAAAATTTAGTCTTGATAGATTATCCTGCTAGGGAATTAATTTTAGTAACTAACCCTCTGAAGTACTGTTCCTACTCCAATGTCACAGGGCCTTGAATGAATTAAGATTCTTTTTCCTCAAATTACATCTTATTCTAAGCTATCATTTGATTTTCAGTATTATTAAGAATGAGTTGGATGACATCATTACTCCTCTAAAGTTTGAAAGACTTCAGCACTTGACTAATAATAAGCATGACTCATATTCATGAATGATCAGGTTTTAAAAGAGCAATAAAAATATGGTCACCATCTCATCCTGCTTCTATGTCCCCTGCAGGCAGAAGAGATCACACTGGCCAGCTGTTAAGTCTAAATTCATGGATACAGAATTAACCTGTCACTTTATCTGAGGCGATCAAAGTAGGATGCTCACACACTCTCTCCCAGTGCTGAGCTCTTCACACAGGCCCCTCGAGCTATCGTTGGTATTTATTTCAACTTATGAAAAAGCCTCTCTTTTTTTTTTCTTTCATTTTTACAAACCTAAAGGAGAGTAAAAGAAGTTAAGGGGGGTAGGGGAAGTAGGAGGGCACAAAAAGACATTCCTAGCACCAATTCCTTAAATATTATGAGCAGATAATCCCAAAATTTTCACTGTCAGCCCAGGCATCTTTTGTATAGCCTACCTGACATCCAATTGGATATATCCTAAGCATTTCAAACTTAGCCTATCTAAAAAAACAAAACAAAACATTTTCTCTCATAAACCTGTTCTTCCCTCTGTCTTTTCCACCTCAGTATACGTTGGTGGAAACTACCCATTGTTTCCACAACCCAAACCTGAGTGTCATCCTTGACGCCTTCCTCTTTCTTACTCCCAACCCGACCCAAAGTCTGGTCAGTTGCAACAACAAATACATGTCTAATCCACCCTCTCTTCTCCATCATTACTATTACCACCCTCACCTGAGCCAGGATGGACACAACAGTCTTCTCTCTGGTTTCCTACTTTGACTTTTGTACCCCATCTAATCCAGAGATTTTCAACAGGTGTGCTGCAAGGATTTTTAAAACATGCAATACCTGACTATTTAGTCCGGAGCACTGACCTCTTTTCCCTTATCCGTGGTCAGCAAACTGCGGCTCTCGAGCCACATGCAGCTCTTTGGCCCCTTGAGTGTGGCTCTTCCTAAGCCTTAGGAGTTCCCTAATTAATAACAATGTACCTACCTATATAGTTTAAGTTTAAAAAATTTGGCTCTCAAAAGAAATTTTAATCGTTGTACTGTTGATATTTGGCTCTGTTGACTAATGAGTTTGCCGACCACTGCCTTAGATTATCAAATTTAAAAAATGATAGCAGCCAACACAATAGCCATCCGGTGTGAATGAATCAAAATTCTATCTTTTGCCCTAGCCGGTTTGGCTCGGTGGATAGAGCGTCGGCCTGCGGACTGAAGGGTCCCAGGTTCGATTCCGGTCAGGGGAATGTACCTTGGTTGCGGGCACATCCCCAGTGGGGAGTGTGCAGGAGGCAGCTGATCGATGTTTCTCTCTCATCGATGTTTCTAACTCTATCTCTCTCCCTTCCTCTCCGTAAAAAATCAATAAAATATATATTTTTTAAAAATTATACCTTTTATTTTCAGAATGGCCAAAAACATATATTTTGGTGTGCCACAGAATTTTAGCAGTTTATGTATGCCATGAGATGAAAAAGGTTGAAAATCACTGCTCTAATCCATCAACCAGACAATAGTCAGAATGACCATCTTACTTATCACCCTGAATATGTCACTCTCCTGCTTAAAACCACTCATCAACTTCCTACCTCATTTCAAATAAAATTTTAGTTCCCCTAGAATGTATAAAATTTGGCCCATACCTAACTTTCAAGCTCACCTCATGGCATTTTCTACCTTGTTCAATGGGATCTATCTGCCTTGGCCTCCTCTCTGTTCCCAGAACAGCCCAACTTCTTCCCCATTTCAGTGCCTTTCTTTTATTTTTTCCTGCTCTTGGCCTGAGTCTTCCTCACACTTCAGATCTCAGCTTAAATAACACCACTTTGTCTAGAGAGTAACCCTATTTATTCTCTAGCACAGTAGTCTATTTCCATCATAGCAGTTACTGTTGATTATTTGTTGAACTAGTAAAATATTAAGTACCACAAGGGCAAGGACAGCATCTGTCTTGTTCACCATGTTGTTCCCAGTGCCTTTAACAGGGCATAGCATCTAGTGTGCCCTCAATAAACATTCTGTCACCTTAGCCGGTTTGGCTCATATAAAATGATAAACAAGAGGTGGATAGAGCTTGGGCCTGTGGACTGGGTTTCAATTCTGGTCAAGGGCACATGCTCGGATTGTGGGCTTGATCCCCAGTAGGGGGCGTGCAGGAGGCAGCCAATCAATGATTCTCATCATTGATATTTCTCTCTCTTTCTCCCTTCCTCTCTGAAATCAATAAAAATATATTAAACAAAACAAAACAAAAAATATCCCATCAATAAGAGGGACTAGCCAGGTGTTCCTGATACTTCTGAAAATAAAAATTATTTTAAGATTTTCACTTCTTGCCCCAGCCAGTTTAGCCCAGTGGATAGAGTGTCAGCCTGTGGACTGAAGGGTCCCGGGTTCAATTCCAGTCAAGGGCACGCACCTCAGTTGCAGGCTCCTGACTCTGGTCAGGACCATGCGGGAGGCAACCAATCTATGTGTCTCTCTCACATCGGTGTTTCTGTCTCTCCCTCTCCCTTCCATTCTTTCTAAAAATCAATGGAAAAAATATCCCTGAGGATTTAAAAAAAAAAGTTAAAAAAAACCCGACTTTCACTTCTTAAATCATTGAATTATAAATGAAACTTTAGAATTCTTCTTGCTAAAAATTGAGGTATGAGGTATCAAAAGAATGCATAATTCTGTTTTGTCAACTAGACTTTGGAATAAATAAATGATCAATTCATGAACACATTACTTAATAATTATTAAAAAGTAGCTATTTATAAAGAAAATAATGGTTACTTAATACTAGTCACTTGTTTTGTTGATTTTATAGCAGCTAAATGTTTCAGAGTACCCAGGGCTCTTATGCGGTGGGCTAAAAACTCAACTCGCTCAATCAAAACTATTCCTGCCTGCAGTTTAGACCAGCCTAAGGCTAAAAAGAGCTTCACAGGGATCTTGTGAACCACTCTTTCTCTTAAGAATATTAATGTCAACAAACCATACTCACTTTAAAAAAAGGAATTATTTAAATAGAATTCATTCCCACAAAACAGAACTATAAGAACTAGGGATGTGTGAGATGATACATGTTAACTTAAACTTACTGTGGTAATCATGTAAGTCAAATCATTTTGCTGTACACCATAACATATAAAGTGATATGTCAATATATCTCAATAAAACTGGGAAAAATGTATTTAACCTTACAATCCATCAAAAGTATGCACATAAAAATAATGAAATCTCCTATTTTCGCCCTTCCCCCTACCAAAAAAAAAAAAGGAAAGAAAGGAAGAAAGGAAGAGGAATGTAGATGTAGAGCCAAAGGAATTCTCATAGGCTGCTGCTAGGAAGATAAACTGACAACCACTTTGGGGAATATGACAAGATAATGATTTCTTACTTGACTGCCTCGTAAATATTGTTAGAGGTATGTCCTGACAAGGCATCATGTAAGTTGCGTATAAAATAATCTCTGTATTCTTCAGGAAGGGCCATAAATGTTCCACCCATCACAATAAACTCCACTTTATCCACACTGTGACCAAGCTGTTTCAACTGAAAAACATAAATTGATCAACATTAAAAGGATACAACCACTACCCTAAGAGAGTACTGCAAATTTCTAATTTCATTTTGCAGTGTTTTCATCAGTATAGTTTAAAAATGAGAAGCAATTAAACATACTTAGCAAGTCTGTGGATTAAAAAAAAGAGACTCCAGATTCTGAAATAAAAAAAATAGTATAGCTCAAATAAGGAGGGAGAGAATTAAAAACAATAAACAAGAAGCTTGATGTTAATACCTACAGAGTTGAGTAGAAATTTTAAAAACACATAGAATATAAACTAGAAATCAGTAAAGGCAAATATAAGCAACTATTTATCAATCATGTATTTTATGCCAGGCTTTGTGGTAAGCCGTGGGGAAAAAGGAGATAATTCATGCAACATAATCAGGACTTGATGCAAATGAAAGAAAAGGAACACTAGATTAGAAACAGAAATTAAGAAAGCAGTTGTAAATTAAAACTTTAAAGTTTTAAATCAATTGTGAGGACTCTGGACATAGGTGGAACCTCAAGCCTGCTTTCCGGGAGGAAAATAAAAATCTGATTGATAAAATATGAAATACAATGCCTCTACTATTAGAGATGCAAATGGTACAGATCTTTGATTTTATCAACCACAATAGCCAAGATTCTAAATTTCAAAAACAAATATTTAAATTTCTTGCCATATCTTAGGCTTGAAAAAAACTGGATTAAGTTGCTACCAAATTATGAATTCAAATGAATGTACTAAGTAAAGGATGTGTATACTTAATATTTGTTTCTGAAAATGGCAAATAATTTATACATATATACATCTTTATGTATGTATACATATTTACATATCCATATGCATAAATATATCATATGCATATATCTCTTAAATATATATAAGTATGTTTATATATGTGCATTTCAATCAAGACTAAAAGAACATTCTATATGTCTATGGTTTGCAAGGGATACACAACAAAATCATCCTGATATCTTTTTCAGAATATCTTGGCAGGACCCCACACCAGACGTAAGCAGAACATCCAGAGTAAGCAGAACATCCAGAGGTAAAGATCTGGCTCATGTTTTGGAAAAGCTGTGATGATTCTAGTAATTTATAGTTAAAAAAAAAAATTCTAAATCTTTTAAAACCCATGCTCCTTTTTGGTAAACAAAAACATTTCACACAGCATTAAAACATTTTAAATAAATTAAATATAAATATCACGGCTAAAAAGGAAATCCAAGCAATGGTCAGTTTAGAACATGCTTTTCCAAACTACGCAGGCTCCCTGCCCCCAGTGGGGTCCTCCCTATAGCTGACCATCCCGATCCACACATGCTTAGGTGACAGTGAAGTGAAAATCAGAACCGGATGGTCTTCACTAACAGTGACAGTTAGATAAACACAGAATGACTTACTGACTATGGTATATATTACTTTCCAGTTGACATTTTGTGGTTGCCCTACTAGATGTTATTATGAAAACTACACACAGTGTTCACATTTTTTTTAATTGGACAAGTTTAAAATTGTAAAATCTGTAAAAATAAAACTGTATTAATGTTCAGATTTCCTGAACAGAGCATGGCCATTTACAAAGTTCTTGTTTTCAATCAGCTATACTGAGGTATAATTTACACACAATTAACTTTAAGGATAAATTGGATGAGTCTGGATAAATGTTTGGAGTTGTATAACCACCATGACAATCATGATACAGTACGATTCCACAGCCCCCAGTGTTCCTCACATCCCTTTGCAGTCAATACCCTATTCCTACTCCTCCAAACAGCACAAAACTCATGTGGCCTAGGAAAGCTAAACTTCAATCCATCCACCTAATGCCTAAGTGTTTCCACACATCTACATCCTGTAAATTTCATACCATAAATGACTTCCTACAAATTGAAATCTATAGAATACAAAACGTTTAAAGAAAACAATAGTCTCTAAAGGAAGTGATAGTTCTGATTTTCTAGGTATTGCAAAATAGTCTCCCTCCCTCAGATGGATAGTAAAAACTTACAATGGGGAAAAATACTCTTTTAGGGCTTATTTCAGGTACAACTCAAATCAAGAAATAATACCTCTAAGTATAAAAATCTAATTTAAAATTGCTTTTTAGAAACTTACCTGCTCTATGCGGTGTCTTGTCTGTAGATAAGGGTCGTATCTAGCACGAATAGCTCGCATGGAGGTTGGCTGAGAAAAAAAAGAGAAAAAGATTCTGTTATGCCCATGCTAAATTAAAAATAAAAAAATGGTTTCAAAGGGTGTATTAAAAATAAAATTCTCCTGTGCTCCTTTCTTCCTTTCTCAGTCTTCAAAATAATGTCCTGTAGCATCTGGCTAGTCTCCACCCCCACTGTCATGAGTATCTGAACAGCAGGGCGTCTTCTTAGATCATATTTATCTTTGTATCAACACTTATAGAAACAACACAAATTGTTATACTACTCACAGACATAGATGTGCATACATATTCAAAAGTTATTTGGTAAAATAACCTTCAAATGATGGCTTAACAAAAAAGACTTTATGTTTTTATACAATGGAATATTCTACAACCAAGAAACAACATACTAATGTTTTCTAAAATATATTGCTAAATGAAAAAGGCAAGGTGCAAGGTTTTGATACAGTAGCTTATATGTAAAAAAGTAGGATAAAGAATAACTATGTGCTTATATATCCATATAACATCTTTAAAGGATATACAGGAAAGATAATACTGATTGTCTGCTGGGAGTGGAGGGGGCTGGAGCAGAAATGGACAAGTAGGGGACAAGAGGAACAAGGAACCTTTTCATTGAATAAATTCCTTTTGTATTTTCAAAAATCTGAACTATGAAAGACAGGTAAAACATTTAAAAAACATACTAGTATATATATATGAAGAAAGGCACATAGTTAGCTGGCTACTGACCTCTCTGAAGAGGCTGACTGCTTCAAAAGCCTGCTCACTGGTCTCCTCTTTCACTCTTGCCCCCACTCTAATCCTTTGTTACCATCAAATGATCTTTTAAAAAACTATACTGGACTATATCATTCCTTTAAATCTTTTTTATTATTGTTAATCCTCATTGGAGGATATTTTTTTCCATTGATTCTTTGAGAGAGAGGAAGAAAGGGGAGTTGGGGGAGGGGGGGGGGGAGAGACAGACAGACAGATACAGACAGAGAGGGAGAGAGAGAGAGAGAGACAGAGAGAAACATCCATGTGTTTCACGTACGTGCCCTTGACCGGGAATTGAACTAGAACCCGAGAACCTTCGGTATACAGGCCAAATGCTCTAACCACTCAGCATCACCAACCAGGGCAATTCCTTTAAATCTTAATGACTTCTCATGTCACCTATAATAAAATCCAAACTCCTTGTCCTGGCTTACAAGTCACTATGATATGTCTCTCCAAACTCATTCTTCCTCTTACCCTCTATGCTCCAGAACATCCCACCGTCATTCCTAACATGGCTCCTTGTTCTAGCTATTCTTTCTGCTGGAAATGCTCGTTGCTGAAATTCTGGAAAGGCCCCTTCCTGTCATCAGGACTCAGCTAAAGCATCACCTGCTCAGAGAATCCCTTCCTAACACCACAGCTCAATTACCCACCCAGCGATAACTTACAATTTCCCTTCTCTGTTTAGCATTTACTAGTACCTGACATTTTTTTCTTGTTTGTTTCTTTATTGTCTATCTCCCACTATTAGAATGTAAATTCCACAAGACAAGGGACCTTGTCAGTTTTTCCACTGCTGGACACACAGGTAGTACAATGTAGTGGTGAGAATCCAAAGCCTGGCTCTGTCACTGACTCGCAGTGAGTCTTTGAGCCAGTTGTTTAAGGCTTGTGTTTCCTCATCCATAAAACCAGGATAATAGTAGCATCTACCTTTAAAATGCTGCTGGTAAGATTTAAAGTCATAAAATGCTTGTCTGACATATCTTAATAATAAATGCTTCCTGAAGTATTTCTCCAATGACTAGAAAAATATATGTAGTCAGGAAAAAATTACCTTTGTAATCAGGAAAAAATAAAAATTTTAAGACAGCTAGTACTTGTAAAAGCACACACAGGCAAAGTATGATGTAACATTTCCTCAGGACAGCCTCACATTACTTTACCTCATATCCAGTATATGACTGGGTTGAATACTCAAAATCTGAATCAGGTCCACCAGGGCAGTATCTGCCAATAAAACAGAAGAATGAAGATGTCAGATACAAAAGTAGTTCAACAGTCGAGGTCAAATATTGCTGTCTCCATAAAATCCAGATAACAAATTTCACTTTCAAATCCTAAAAGAAAAGTCTACCTTTGCAGTGTCTATAAATAATATTTTCTACTAACAAGTAAACGAGTTGAACATATAAGGGAACAATATTACAATCATTTTCAGAATTCTGCCATCACTATTATTTCAAAGATTTAAGATTTTAGGGGCAAATAACAGGACCTAAGTTTTCCTAACTTTGGAATGATATTCAGAGAGCTCTTTTGGTAACTACACTTAACAATATCACTCACCCATTTAATCTTTTTACTTGGAATCATGCATATTCTTCTGCTAATTTTTCCAATTATCTAGATTTTAAAAGTTTAAAGGTTTATAAAAATAACTTTATTTTTATACTTTTCTGACTCAAATTCATTTAAAATTTCTGACATTTATAATTTCCATGTTTCATTTATTGTGTTAACAGAACTGTTTACTGAAATCAACAGAATTTATACTGTTTTGAGTTCTATAACCTATGTATTTTTTATTGCATATTGTAACAAATTAAAATCTTTGTTTCATTTTTAAAACAAAGTATCCTATCAATGGTTGCTGTTTCAAAGAACTAACTTATGAATTTATTAAATCAAAGTTTTAAATATTACCAGCATGCACTGGTTAAGGCTCTAGGGGACGTATTAATTGAATTAAAATATATACACATACAACTTATCAAAATCATCATACTTACACACAAATATTTCCTGTAAAACTAATGTGTGGACATCTGTGGGGTTTGCACATCACAGCTACAACAGCAATCTATAAAAGAAAGGTTAATATAAAACTATTATAAAGGAATTGACAGAAAATCCCGGAGAGAGGCTATATCTCAGAAAAAGGGAGTGGAATGGAAGCAGAGAGGCACACGGGCTTCATAGGTATTGGTAATGCTGTATTTCTGAAGCTGAGCAGTGGGTTCAAGGGTGATCTCTTTTCAATGTTGTTTGAAAATAACATTGATCTCTCTAAAATGCACATATGCATTGTATATATTAGTTTGTATTAGACTTTACAATAAATTAAGTAAAAAATAAGAAATAACTTTTAAAGTCGCAGTGATTCTTATTCTCTCTGATTTGTTTTACTAAAATAGCCTAGGAGAAAAAAATTACTTTATGCAATTCTACACAATTACATCTAAAGTCCTTGTGGACACACTAGATCTCAATATGTAGAGCAGAGACAATTAAACTAGGAGCTAGACTTCACAGTGTGTGCAAAATATTCTCAGAGGGGTCTTTCAGAGCCCAAGTTGGGTGAGTAAGAGAGTAATGCTTGAGAAAGAAGGGGATGGTGGAAATAGGAGACTGGTTACATATAGGAGTGGTTACTCAAATAAAGGCACACAGTAAGGTGAATACAAGCCAGGTTTCTTACTGTCAGAGAAGAAAGTTATAAATATGGAAAGGGAGAGAACTAAAATGAACTCTGTGTGCTGGATAGAATTGAAGGTACTATTGTGAACTCATAGTTTTCAACAGACTGATATACAAATAAATATGGAAGCAAATGTGTTATGTATATGTGTGTACATGTATGTATGTATGCATGCATATATATTTCCTAGTTTGATCCACTGAGAGGGTCTGGAAGCAGCAACACCCTAACAGCATACCTAGAGCTCAGATCTTGGCCTCTAAATGCCCTTCGCTACTAAAAGGAACCAGGACTCCTGCGAGAAAAGGCTGATTCCAGGGCCCGGGCAAAGAAAGTACAAGAGGAGCCTGGAACATTTTATTATGACAGAAAGCTAAAAACTGCTCAAAGAATGATGGGAACATTTTTTTAAAAAAAAGACAGAAATCAGGTTGAAAGGGTTCCCACTGGTCAAACCTGGGATAATTTGTGCATCAAAATAATGATTATAACCCACCTAATAAGAAACCATGAATCCACTCATACAAATATATGAATAAATAAATTGGAAGTCTGATGAGGAACAGGAGGATATTTACATAATATTTACAAAAATACTTTACCACACAAAACTTCCTAATTACAAAGTGGAAAAGAATAACTCTACAGAGGAGAAGCGTGGCAGACATCAATGACAAAACAAAATGAAATTACGCCCCCTGATGGGATGCAGTAATACAGAATCGCTTCTGTAATGCTCCTGCCAAAGACACATGACCTGAATCTAATTATGAAGAAACATCTGATTAAACCAAATTGAGGAACCTGCTACAGAATAACTTGCCTGACATCCTCAAGTGTCAAAGTAACGAAATCAAAGAAATACAGCAGTGTCCAGACTGAAGAGACATGACAACTAAATGCAACATGTAATTCTGAACTGGGTCCTGTAGGTCATTCTTGAAACAGCTGGTGAGACTTGAATGAGGTCTGAGGATTAGACATCAGTCATGTATCAGTGTTAAATTCCTGACTTGGATGGCTGTATTGCGGCAATGTACAAAAATGTCCTAACTTGTAGGAAATATGCACTAAAGTATTCAAAGGCTTGAGTTTCACAACTTACTCTGAAATGGCTGGGGGAGGGGAGGAATGTTCTTTGTACTGGCCTTTCGACTTTTCTGTAAGCTTGTGATTATTTTTCATAATAAAAAATATTAAAATTTAATGTAAAACATTCAATAATGATCTCTAGAGCAGTGGTTCTCAACCTTGGCTGCACATTAGAATCACCTGGGAATCTTTTTAAAATCCTGATTTCTGGGCCTCATCCTCCGGAAATTCTGTTTCTTTGTTATGGGGTGGGGCCACAACATTAGTAACAAAGAAACAGAATTTCCGGAGGATGAGGCCCAGAAATCAGGATTTTCAAAAGATTCCCAGGTGATTCTAATGTGCAGCCAAGGTTGAGAACCTCTGCTGTAGAGAAACATCAAAATACATAAATACATAAATATTCTGATCTGATTGCAAAACTAATTGTTTCAAACAAACGTTTTTATTTAAAAGGAGACACAACCATATATACCACTGATGAGGCCAACCTAACTCAGCAATGTTTTACCGAGAGCCTCCTACATACACAGGCCACGTTCTCTAGAGCCACACTGGGGGGGGGGGGGGGGGGGGGCGCGGGGCGGGGAGGGGCTGAGACTACAAAAATATGAACACACTGCCTCCGTCCGTACCTAGCAAAACTGCCTTAGGCATACAGAAATAGGCTACTTCAAAACCACACGCATGTAGAAAACCCTGGGAATGCAGAAAATCCTGGGAATGCCAAAAGAAGGGAGTTAATTAGCCCTGACCAGGGGAGTCAGGAAAGCCTTCCAGGAGGGGCTAAGAACCGTGCTGAGTAAGAGTTAACTGAGCTAACAAGGTGTAGGGCCAGGAAAGCAATATGCAGTAGTTTCCAAACATTTTTAAAACAGTAGAACTCTTGTTTCGTAACGTTTTACTTAAAACCCCAATTTATAAGATTAAAAGCAGTAGCCCTGGATGAAGTAGAGTTGAGACCTGCTCCCACAGCTTCCCTATACTATTTTCCTCAGCAGCTCCTAAAAAACTCTAAGGAATCCTGTAGTTTTGTTGAATACTGCTTAAAATTTACTGATAAAGTAGAAAAAGCAATGACTTTGGAGTCAGCCAGAGGTGTAGGTTTGAATCTTTGCTGTGTAGGTTCTGCCTCTTGCTGTGCATTTTCCTATTTTGGAAAATGAAGACAATACTACCTATCCCTCAAAACTGTTTTGAGGATTAAATTAGAAAACATACCAGCACAGTGGCTGGTATGTAACAGGTGGGCAACACGTGGTAGCTATAGTTGTAATTAATAGTGACACTAAGAATAACAACGAACATGGTGTTCTAAGCAAACCAAGCAGATAAAAACCCTTAAATACAAACTCAAAATGGATCACTGACCTAAATGTAAAATGCAAAACTATGAAACTTTTTGAAAATAACTAGGTGACCTTCAGTTTTGCCATGAGTTTTTACATACAACTCAAAAGCACAATCCATGAAAGAAAAATGGGTAAGTTGAACTAGATTAAAATTTGCAAGTCCTGCTCTGAGAAAGATACTGTTAAGAGAATGAAAAGACAAGCCACAGACTAGAAGAAAACATTTGTTAAACACCTCTCTGATAAGAGACGTGTTCCTTAAATAGACAAAGAACTCTTACAACTTCACAATAAAAAATCAAATAACCCATTTAGGAATAGGGCAAAAGATCTGGACAGACACCCCAACAAAGACGACATGCAGATAGCAAATAAGTATATGAAACGATATTCAACATCGGATGGCATTCAGGAATTGCAAATTGAAACAACAATGAGGCACCACTGCACACACATATTAGAAAGGCCCAAATCCCAAACACTGACTGCAGGCAGGCATGTGGATCAACAGGAAGTCTCGTTCACTGTTGATGAAAAATGCAAAATGGTACAGCCACTTTGGAAGACAGTTTGACAGTTTCTTACGAAGCTAAACATAGTCTTACCACGTGATCCAGTAATCATAAATGAATTGAAAACTTAGGAGTACACAAAAACCTTCACACAGATGTTTACAGCTTTGTTCACAATTGCCAAAAACTGGAAGCAACCGAGATGCCCTTCAATAGGTGAATGGATAAATAAACTGTGGTACATCCAGTGGAATATTATTCAGCACGAAAACAAATGAACTATCAAGCCACTGAAAAGACAACCTTATATGCATCTTGCTAAATGAAAGAAGCCAATCTGAAAAGGCTACAGACTGATTCCAACTACATGACATTCTGGAAAGGGCAAAGGTATGGAGACAGTAAACAGATCAGTGGTTGCCAGAGGTTTGGAGCAGAGGAAAGGATAAACAGGGGAGTTTTAAGGCAGTGAAACTATCCTATATGATCCAGCTAATAGTGAATACATGACATTACACATTTGGTAAAACCCATGTACAACACTTTGAGGGACCCTAAGGTAAAAACTATAAGCTTCAGTTAATAATAGTGTGAAAAGAACTTGTTGGAGAAAGTCGCACAGAAAATGCAAGCTCCTAATAAAATCCACTGGATTGAGAAGGCAAATCATTCCATGGCAGTGAAAGGACGGTCAACGAATGATGTTTTCAAAGAAATAAATACACAAATTTTGTTTTGGATTCAGGAAATCACTGAAAGGGACAAGAAATAATTGTCTTTAGTTAAAAGCCATGTTATTTTGAATACAAATACGGTTAATTTGATAAAGAACAGCATAACTGTCAGCATTATGAGGTATATTTTCAATTAACTTAATGTTCTTTAATGTTCCCCCATTTATAAAACATGTTTTAATTGTGAAATTGATGTATTTTACAAAATGTGTTTTGAAAGCATAGTTCTATAAAGATGATGCACAAATGTTGAAGACGGTCTAAATATAATTTATTTTTATTAATATAGTTAAGTTTGAAAAAATTAAACATTTGAATTTTGTTACAGTGGAAAAAAAAATGCATTGTAACAAATGCTCCAAACCAATGCCAGGTACTCATAATAGGGCAACCTGGGGAGGAGGGAAAGGAAGTACATGAAAACTCTGTACTTTCTGTTCAATTTTTCTGTAACCTGAAGACGGCTCTCTAAAAAATACACACACACACACACACACACACACGAAAAACGAAAAACAAACAACAAAGAACCACCAGAGTAACAGCAGAAATAAAAGCATGGAGATCAGGATGCAGAGACATAGAAATCAGCTGTGTACTTCTGATATTTTTTAGATTACTCTGGTGACATTGCAGAATACATCTGGCGCAGGCAAGACAAAGTAGACAGGTTAAGAAATGACTAAAATAATCTAAACAAGAAATAAAACATTCCTACCAGCGGTGATAGGAATGAACAATGCATTTCATTCCGGGGGAGAAGGGAAAGGAAGTAGATGAAACGGAGTGAAGCGGGGCACTGGAAACTAAGATGGACAAGAAAGATGAGTGAGCACATCTGAGGTTCGTTTGGGTTATGATACACTTGAGGGTCAACACGGAGTCCAAGGAGAGATGTCTAACAGGCCATCTGAAATGAGCCTGAAGCTTGGGGAGAGGCTGGAGCAGGGAGTAAGTAGTATATGGCTATACTTAAAATGTGAATGAATGAGATCACCAAAGAAAGCAAGTACAGCATAAATACAGTGGGCCTAGGACCACAGAAAACATCAATTTTTAGAGGCAAGCAGAACAAGAGTAGCCCTCAAAGGAAGAAAAGAAATGATCAGAGGAACAGATAGAATGGTGTCATAAAGCCAAGTATATCAGGTTGAAAGGTTGCTCAATCTTTGTCTTCCACAGTGTCAAGCTCATAAACCATGGCAAAACCAAAAGTTCAAGACTTATCTATAAAGCATATTATTTGGGGATAGGGAAGTAAATGCTAAGAAATCCTCTAAGAGTTAAAAGTGTTTGCCCTTGGGGGAAAGAGGAGGAAGTGAGAGATTTAGAAATACTGGTTTTTCTTAAAGAGCCTTTACCTAGATACAAACAAACAAAACAAAAACACTTAAGTACAAGGGAGAAGAGACCAGGATTGGTGGTACATTTCACGTAGAAGTTTTGGGGTTTAATTAGCCATACATGTAATATAATCCAGGATATACAGCCACCAAAGAAGTCAATGCAAGTTTCAATTACTAGAAATGTAATATCCTCATTCAAATAACAGACTGAACTTCTTTTTTTGTTAATCCTCACCGGAGGATATTTTTCCATTGATTTTAGAGAGAGTGGAAGGGACTGGGAGAGAGAGAGAGAGAAACCTCAACTGGTTGCCTCTGGCAGCTGGGGCTGAGAATTGAGTCTGCCTGCAATTGAGGTACGTGTTGCCACTGGAATCGAACCCGTGATGCTTCAGTCCTCAGGCCAATGCTCTATCCCAGGGGTAGGCAAACTTTTTGACTCGAGGGCCACAATGGGTTCTTAAACTGGACCGGAGGGCCGGAACAAAAGCATGGATGGAGTGTTTGTGTGAACTAATATAAATTCAAAGTAAACATCATTACATAAAAGGGTACGGTCTTTTTTTTTTTTAGTTTTATTCATTTCAAACGGGCCGGATCCAGCCCGCGGGTCTTAGTTTGCCCACGGCTGCTCTATCCACTGAGCAAAACCAGGTAGGGCCAGACTGAACTTCCTAGATTACATTAGGAACAGATTAGGAACAGAGAATTCAATTTGGGTACCATATTTTAAGAGGGTCCAAATCCTATCTCTCCCACCCATCCTTTTTATCCTAGAGCTCCTACCCTAATTCAGGCTCTTAACACTTCACACCTAGGTAAAGCCAAGAATATCTTTTTTTTTTTTTAAATATATTTTATTGATTTTTTACAGAGAGGAAGGGAGAGGGATAGAGAGCTAGAAACATCGATGAGAAAGAAACATCGATCAGCTGCCTCCTGCACGCCCCCTACTGGGGATGTGCCCACAACCAAGGTACATGCCCTTGACAGGAATCGAACCCGGGACCCTTGAGTCCGCAGGCTGACGCTCTATCCACTGAGCCAAACCGGTCAGGGCAAGCCAAGAATATCTTAACAAGTTTGTTTTGGTTTTTGTTTGTTTGTTTTTCTTTACCCTACATCTTGTATCCAAAGTAATTTTCTGAAAGTTTATTTTGTTCATATCACTCCCTTTCTCAAAAAGGTTAAGCAGTTTCCTATTGTCCAGTTTCTTTGTGGGACATTTAAGAACTTTTACAAGCTGATCCCAAACCAACTTTGCAATCCCATGTCCTGAGGCTTTCCCAAACGAACGATCAATTCCAGGCAGTCTGTGTACTCACTGTTCCCTGCACACACTGCTATCATCTCTCTCTCTGCGCCTCAGTTCCCTGTGCCCTTACTCCCACTACTGTTCGAGCCTGCTCTCTTCTGCTTATATGAGCATCGTTTATGTCAAGCAAGCGCCACACATTCTTTTTTTAAATATATTTTTACTGATTTCAGAGAGGAAGGGAGAGGGAGAGGGAGAGAGAGATAGAAACATCAATGATGAGAGGGAATCATTGATTGGCTGTCTCCTGCATGCCCCGTACTGGGGATCGAGCCCGAAACCCTGGCATGTGCCCTTGACCGAAATCAAACCTGGGACCCTTTAGTGTGCAGGCCGACGCTCTATCCACTGAGCCCAACCAGCCAGGGTTAAGCTCCACACTTTCTACTCAGCTTTCCTAGTCCCTTTTACTGCAAGGATGTCTCTCTCTGTCTTCTGGACTCCCACTGCATTTCCTACTGTGTCAATCCCTTCACAGTCACCAAGTATAGAATGACTGCACCATTAATTACCTTTTAAAACTACCTTTTGTAAATATCAATTATTTTGAGAGCCATAAGCTTAATATGGCGGCCAACAATATCATACTGTGAAAATCGCCAAGCCTCAATCTATACTTTTAAAGACACCAAAACATCATTTACTCTTTTAAGCACAATGAATTCTTTCCCTTTCTAGGCCCTCCTAGCATTCTGTACTCATGTTCCACTCCGCATATATCATAATACACAGATTATATCAGTCTAAATTCCCCATCTCTACCTCACTACCTGGGCATTACATGGAGGCAGGAATTTCTGGCAGGACAGATACATAATCAGTATTACATGAATTGAGGTACTCACCCCACTCGCAGTTCTGATGGGTTTTGCCTTTAACTTGGGGACCAAAACCTTTCGATACTGAGGTGGGACTGCGGCAATGATATCCACCAGGCGAGGCTGTGCTGAAAGGCCATATTTGGCAGCTGTCTTGGTTTTCACCCTGAAAGTAAAACATCTAGCATTATCGAGATCACAGCATTTCAAAGAAAAACTACCAAAAGAAATGACCTGTAAATAATATCAACTCCTCCTCTACCCTTTCATCAGATGACAACAGTGGCTTTAACAGCTGTAAATATCAGGGGCCCAGGACAGTGACACCATGTAGGTCTCATTCAAAATGGTGCTCCAGCTTCAAAGGGTTCTGTCTTTTCTCAGCCTCAGCACTGCGGCATTTGGAATCAGATTAATTCTGTCATGGGGTGTGTAGCAGCATCATTAGCCTCTACTCACTAGCACTCCTCTTCCTGTTGTAACAACCAAAAATGTCTCCAGATGTTGCCAGGTGTCTATTGGGAGGAGGGGAGTCACACCTGGCTGCAAACCACCGTCTTAGATCAAACAAACAAAAAACAAAAGAAAGCTACACGAAAGTATACAAAGGATTGTATACATAAAAACAGAACACAAAACATATATACTTTTACAATTATAAGGCAACCACTTGCGTAACCACACTTCAAGAAATAGAATATAAGAACTTCAGAATACCCGTTTGCCCCTTCCCGATTATAACCCTACTCTCACCCCCAGGAGTAACTTTATCCCAACTAATAATCCCTTACTCTTCTCTATAATTTTACCAACTTTTCTTTTTCCGTTAGCCAAACCCTAACAGTCACGTTAACTTCTAATTTTAAACCCACCTAAAAATATTGAGGTGTTTGCATCATTTTCTACAAATGTTAACTGAGTGCGTGGAATGTCCAAAGACTACAGAAGTACTTGGTATGTCAGGAGGTATAAGGCATAGTCATTTCATGCTCTATGTTTGCAGACAGGCCTGAACAAAAGTAAATGTGTGTGATAAAACACACACACACACACACACACACACACACACACACACACACAAAACAAGTACTTCCAGCATTCAAGAGAGTAACTCAATGTGTGCTGGGGAGATATTCATAGAAAATGGGCCCAGAAAAAAGAACAGACTTCAGACATGCAGTGAAAACATAGATGGCTTATGTGAAGACACAAAAACAAATAATACTCATATTTTAAGAAACATGGGTAGACCAACTTGACAGAAAGCAAAAGGTTATCAATGTAAAGGTGCAGAAATTTAAAATGCTGGAAAAGTGGATTGAAGCCAGACCGAGTGGCCTTACATACTAATAATGGGCTGAGGAATCTGCATTTAACTCCATAAGCAACTGGGGACATGCTGAAGTTCCTGCACAGGGAAACGACAGGATGACAGGTGAGACCCTAATTGGACCCAAGGAAAATGATTCAAAGGTAACACTAGTTTCACGCGTGGGTGAAGGTTAACACAACTAATCAAAGACGACATCTGAGTAGGAACTGATTTTAAGGAGAAGCTAGCTTTAGCTTTAGATGTCTAAATAAAAGAGAATGATAAAAATTTATAGAAGTAGAAATGCTCACTAGAAATAAGAGAGTTGTATAATTGGTAGTATAGCCAACAAGGACAGAAAAAAAACACCTGCCAAAGACATGGTAGAAAAAAGATTAAAATGTAATGTCTTGCCCTGGCCGGTGTGGCTCAGTTGGTTGGAGCAATGTCCCAAACACTGAAAGACTGAGGTTTTAAGTTCCAGTCAGGGTACAGACCTAGGTTGTGGGTTCAGTCCCTGGTTGGGGCTCATGTGAGAGGCAACCTTTCCATATTTCTTTCTCTCTCTCTGCTCCTTCCTCTCTCTAAAATCAATAACCATATCCTCAGGTGAGGATCATAGATAGGTTAAATAAATAAATAAATAAATGTCTTCATAGTCAAAAAAGGATAGTTATTCCTTTAGCAAATGTTTATTAGATACGCACAATGTTCCAAGGAAGTGGTAAAACATTATAGTATCTCAACTAACAGAGAAGAGGGTCTTAAGAAAGGTCATGTATATGGTAAGACAGAACATGTATTTCCACATCCCAGCTCTGCCAATCACAGTAATTTATTTTTATACAAATTACTTAACCTTTCTGTATCAAATTACCCATCTATCAAATGACGATGATATAAGTACCTTCCTCATACAGTTTCTGAAAGGATCAACTGAGCTAATATATACAATGCACTACTAGCACTGACTGGGACATAGTAAGCGCCCAATAAATGTTAGAAGTTAGTGTTATCAGTTATGGGACAATTTTGCCATGAATAGCTGGGCAGGGCAGAAAAGCTAAATTCTTAAGTAAAAGATAAAGCAGGAGATAGGAAACAAGTAGAATTTGATAATTTCATAAGAGATCTATTACCTGAGAGTAACAGATCTCTTATGAAACCTTTTTTATAGATCCACTTACTTATTTAGATCGATGTCTTTTCCCTGTTCGTGGGCTTCAATCAGTTGTTTAATAACATCTCCTATGGTCAGCATCATTAGCTCAGCAGGGCTGAGGTCTCCTGGAAAGATAATATTTAACAATGTAAAAAAATCATATTATTCAGTAAAGGTGTTTTTATGTATTATCCCTTTTCCTTCCAAAATTATTCCAACCATGCCAAATAAATAGCTTAAGTTCGTAAGACACTAAACCTCTGTTTACAAGATGATCATATCTTTGGTTTCTTTATTTTAAAACAAACTTGGCTTCACCTATATATGGGAAGAGCTTGCTTTAGAAGCTCATACACCTCGAGAATGATAGCGACAAATACGAGGAGAAAGAACCTAATTGCACAGGAAAAGACCAAAATAATTAAAATAGCTTCCCTTTATCTCCAGATTTATAATTCTATTTATGTGCCTTATTTCATCTGATTCTCAGAACACAGTGAGATAGAACAGAAATATTTGCCTGTCCCACGACAATGCTATCAAGGGGTGAAGTTGAAACTCAAACCTAAGTATCTTGCAGAAAGTAGAATTTACTTTGTAACAAAAAAGCCGTGGGTTTATACTAAGGATCTTAATGCATCTCTAAGATATAGTCTGTCCACCATTATCACCCTCTCGTGGCAACTGAGGCTTCCCTTCTCATCTAAAAGGCAACAGCGGAAGCCGACATGTTCTTACATGACGCCATCCCTGCAATTACAGTTGACCAGCACCTACCCGTCAGGCGAATGCGAGCTCTTCCCCTCAAGGCAAAAACACACAATCTCTCCAATGATAACAACTACGAGATTTCAGCTTGGGAGCCGTTAGCAACCATGCTTCCTGTTCACACAGAAAGCTGGTGTTCCATGATAATAAAGTCACCAGGAAGAAGCATAGAGAGAAAGCCTGGCAGTTATAGAACCCTCTCATTTACTTTATCTCCTCTGAAACCTCACAATACTGTAAGGAAAGTATCGTTAGCTCACTTTACAGATGTGAAAAACTAAGGCAAGATGCGATTGTAAGTGGCAGAGTTAACTCAAATCCGGGTCTTTTCTCAACAACTTCCACGTTTTTTTCACTGTACCAAGCTGCCTCTAATTTAATGAGGCAAGGCTAACATGAACAAAACAATCTGCAAGGGTTGAAAAAGTTCATCTAAAATCAAAGGCTAAATGCGTTCCAAACCATGTAACTCAGCACTTCAGAGTCCTAGAAAGGCACCTCACTGGCCTTGTAACAGAGGGAGGGCTGGTGGTGGAGGTAAAGGAAGGGGGAGAGGATGGAAACGGAGGGCCTCTTTCTCCATTTCAACCAAAGCAGCTCAGCTTTCACCTGTTTAATACTAATTTCTGCAAAAGAATTTGGAGGAAAAAGGAGGATTCAGGTGATGAAAATAGATAAAAATTGGAAACCCACCTGTATAGCCCTTGAGTGTATCAAGAATTAGCTGGAGAAGTAAATTAGTAAGAACAGGCTTCATGGAGGAAAAGGCACAGGGGTCTTCAATGAAAGAGCAGGATTTGGACAAGCAAAACAGATGGCAATCCAGAAGGAACAATGTTAGGAAGATGAATTACCTATCCTTGTACGAAGGAGCATTGTCTAACCAGAATGTACAGCAGGGGTCCTCAAACTACAGCCCGCGGGCCACATGCAAATACAAATATTGTATTTGTTCCCGTTTTGATTTTTACTTCAAAATAAGATATGTGCAGTGTGCATAGGAATTTGTTCATAGTTTTTTTTTTTAACTATAGTCCGGCCCTCCAACGGTCTGAGGGACAGTGAACTGGCCCCCCGTTTAAAAAGTTTGAGGACCCCTGATGTACAGGCTTTCTGATGGAGTAAGATGTACCCTACTAGGTTATAGGGCGCATTAGCTACTAAGCAAAGACATTTAAATGGAGTGCAATAGATAATGGAGAATTATATAATCTCAAGTTTGGGTGTAAAAATATGAAAGTAGTGTTTAAAGAAAGTAAGTTTACAAAAGAAAATGAGGATACAAAAAGTGATTCAGACGGTGAAAATACATAAAATCTGGGTAATATGGGGTGGAGCGGAGGTGGGCTTAGAGTGGGAAAAAAGGGGACATAAGTAATACTTTCAAATATACATACACACACACACACACACACACACACACTTTTAATCTAGGTACTAGGTGAAAGGCTCTTAAAAGGCAACATTGTAAAAAAACAAACCACACACACACACACACACACACACACACACACACACCACCCTCAAGATTTACAGTAAAAAACTTGGATAGCCTCCCTCCGCAGCTCTCAACCCCTACTGGCTGTGTGATAATGAGAAGATCAATGACTTCTAAGCTCCATTTCTTTACCTGCAAAATTGGGATAATACTAGTACATACACATCTCACAAGACCACGGCAAGGATTAACTGAAATAATGTCTACAAAAGCCAAAGTAGCTATTGATTAAGGTTGAGTTAAGAGGATGGTGGCCAGAATGATAATAAACTATTTCAAGAGGCATTTCTAAGAGCTGATAGGGTTTGGTGATGAAGTTAAAAGTGTAAAGCTGCCCGTCTGACAGATTAAGGGACAACTTAAAGAAGATGACTAATTCGGGGCATGTAGAGCTGGATGCCAGACAACTGAAGGTAACTTGCACACTTGTTGCTTCAAAAAACTAGCTGATGTCAAGAAGCATAGTAACTAAAAACTGATTTTTAAAAAAAATGTTTTTTGGGTTCATAGAGACAGTCTGACCCACCAATTCCATTTCCTAATTATAATTTAGGGCTGGAAAGTCATTTAACTCTTTGAATCGCTAATTCGTTTGTGAAATGGGAGTGGTTATCAACTTCCAAACGATTAGCAAAAGCTCAATAAAAGGTAGTTATTATCATAAAACCTGTGAGAAAATACTGGAAATCTGATCCCATCCAGTGGAGAAACTAAAGATGGAATTGCTCCATGCTAACTCGGGAGGCAATAATACACATGGACATAACTGTCCCACGGATTCCAAGAAGAATTCGGGGTTGTTTTGCCAGCATGGCTTGAAAAAGAAATCTAGAAGGAAAAAAGAAAAAGAAACAACACGTGCAACGTGTCCTTAAAAGCCCTCAACAATGAAGGAATCGGAGCACGAGTTAAATCGACCGACCACGTTAACTACTTAGAAAACACACCTTGCAATAAAGTTTTTCCTGCCTTTTATGCAAAAGCCACCAACTGGCTGCCTAAGAGGGAGAGAAGGAGGGGAGGTCGGCTTAAACGAGCACAATAGGTAAAGCGAAAGGGAGGGGCGGGCGCCGACAGAGAGACCGACCCGGTGGGAGGGCTCCGGGGTCCGGCAGCGGGTTCCCGCGGGGGAGACCGGGCCCAGCCTCTGACCGCGAAGGAGCCCGCCCTTCCCCGCCGCCTCCACACCCTCGCCCCCGGCCGCACCTTTCCGCTTCTGCCTCATCGCTCCGCCGTCGCCGCTGCAGCCTCCACGATAATGTGGCTCCCAGCTCGGACCTCGGGGAAAGTTGACAGCCACAAAGCAGCCCCGCCTGTCGTAGAATGAAAGTCAATATGTCGTAAAGCTGTTCCCAGACGGCGGTGCGCGCCAAGCCGGCCCCGCCCCTCGCGGAGCGCCTAGCGGAGCCGGAGCCGAGGAGGCGGGGAAGCTTTGGCCCTGATGCTTGGGCATAAAAAGCTGGACTTGGGAAAGATAAACCAAAACCAAAACCAATAATGATAATAATAATAATAAATCAATAAAAGCTGGACTTGGGAAAGACAAACCAAAACCAATAATAATAATAATAAATCAATAAAAGCTGGACTTGAGAAAGACAAACCAAAACCAAAACCAATAATAATAATAATAATAATCTACACTAATAAAAGAGAAACATGGTAATTAGCGTAAGACCGCTACCCTTCCCATTGGCTAATCAGCATATCCTTATGCAAATTAACTGTCAGCCAAGATGGCGGCCGGCAGCCATGCACTGAAGTGAACAGGGAGGCTTGCTTGCTCCAGTGACTGCGGACTCCAACGTTCCCCGCCTGAGTTGCCGGCCTCTCAGCTGCAACTCTAAGCAACTATGTACTATGTTGCAAATATAGAAGCTAAACAAAACCCCAGAAACCGGCTTTCAGTCAGCCGGACTTCAGCCAGCCGGACCACAACATTGTATCAAATACAGAAGGTAAAGGCCAGAACCGAGGCCTCAGAGCTAAAGCTGGCCCAGAATAGAAAAAAAGAAAAGAAAAAAAGGAGCAGTTGGGAGCTTCAGTCACCCGCCAACCTGAAAACGGCCCTCAGCCCCTCAGCCAGACTGGCCAGGCACCCCAGTGGGGACCCCCACCCTGATCCAGGACACCCTTCAGGGCAAACCAGCCGGCCCCCACCCATGCACCAGGCCTCTGTTCTATATAATGAAAGGGTAATATGCCTCCCAGCACCGGGATCAGCATGACAGGGGGCAGCGCCCAAACCCCCTGATCGCCCTGCGGCTCTGTGAGTGACAGGGGGCGGGGCCACAACCTCCCTATCTGCCCTGCTCTGTTCATGACAGGGGAAGGCGCCCCAACCCCCTGATCAGCCCTGCTCTGTGCGTGATAGGGGGGAGCTCCCCAATCCCCTGATCACCCTGCAGCTCTGTGTGTGACAGGGGGGAGCTCCCCAATCCCCTGATCGCCCTGCGGCTCTGTGTGTGACAGGGGGGAGCTCCCCTCTCCATCGGCCCTGCCCTGAGGCTCTGTGTTTGGCAGGGTAGAGCCATAACCTCTCCATCGGCCCTGCCCTGAGTGTGACAGTGGCGGCGCCCCAACCTCCTGATCGGCCCTGTTCTATGGGTGATAGAGGGTGGCGCCCCAACCCCCCTCCACGGGCCTTGCTCTGTGTGTGACAGGGTAGAGCCATAACCTCCCCCATTGGCCCTGCCCTGAGTGTGACAGGGTGCAGCACCCCAACCCCCCTGATCCGCCCTGCTCTGTGTGTGACAGGGGGCGGTGCCCCAACTCCCCTATCGGCCCTACTCTGTGAGTGACAGGGGGGAGCTCCTCAACCCCCTGATCGGCCCTGCTCTGTGCATGACAGGGGGGAGCTCCTCAACCCCCTGATCGGCCCTGCTCTGTGCGTGACAGGGAGGAGCTCCCCAACCCCCTGATAGATCTTGCTCTGTGTGTGACAGGGTACGGAGCCCCAACCCCCCTGATGGGCCCTGCTCTGTGAGTGACAAGGGGCAGCGCCCCAACCCCCTGATTGGCCCTGCTCTGTGCGTGACAGGGGGTGGCGCCGCAACCTCCCCATCGACCCTGCCTTGAGTGTGACAGGGAGCGGTGCCCCAAACCCCCCAATCGGCCCTTACCCTGAGCGTGACTGAGGAGTGACATCGCAACCTCCCAATCCGTTTCTGCTCTGTGCATGATGGGGCGGTGCCCCAACTCCCCAATCGGCCCTGCTCTGAGCCTGACCAGGGGCTGCACCTAGGGATTGGGCGTGCCCTCTGCCACCCGGGAGCAGGCCTAAGCCAGCAGGTCGTTATCTCCTGAGGAGTCCCAGACTGTGAGAGGGCACAGGCTGGGCTGGGGGACCACCCCCCCCCCCCGCCCCGAGTGCACAAATTTTTGTGCACTGGGCCTCTTGTCTATATATATAAAAGCCTAAGTGACTGGCCGACCAGATGACTGGCTGGTAGCTATGACACTCAATGCAGGAGCTGCCGAGCTGCAGTGACTTGCCTGCTGTGATTCTCAGGTGACGCACCCAGAACCAGAGAGGAGGGAGCCCAATTCTGGGATGTGTCACCTGAGAACCACCCTCTTGCAATCTGGGACCCCTTAGAGGATGTCAGAGAGCCAGTTTTGGCCCAATCCCCACAGGCCAGGCCGAGGGACCCCACTTGTGCACAAATCTCTGCACTGGGCCTCTAGTAAATTAATAAAAGCTGGACTTGGGTGGTGCAGAGACGGGACAAAGCTTATGCATAGAGGCTGCGCCAGGAAGCCTAAACAAGAGTGTGGATGTAACAGTGGTTCTCAACCTGTGGGTCGCGACCCCTTTGGCGGTTGAACAACCTTTTCACAGGGGTCGTCTAAGGCCATCCTGCATATTAGATATTTACATTACGATTCATAACAGTAGCAACATTACAGTTATGAAGTAGCAACGAAAATAATTTTATGGTTGGGTCACAGCATGAGGAACTGTATTTAAAGGGCCAGAAGGTTGAGAACCACTGTAGGTGGTCTGGAGGCTGGGCGGGCACATAGCATTGATAACCATCATGAAAATTATAGAGGTGTCTCCAGAAAATGCACACATGCAGTTTTTGTAGTTTGAGATGTTTTCCTGAAACCCATCCATGATCTCCTTTATTCATGAACCAGAATGTAAGAACCTTTCTCCTTAACGTACAGATAGGAACATGCGCTGTTTCCAGTTCCTTCCCACCAGAAGTGAGGTAACCCACCTTGTCAAGTTCTGTGACTCCCCATCAGGCCAATTCAGGAGTACTATCTGTCCTTATTGTCATCCTGTACCAACGGACATAGTTAGCTCCTGGAGAAGTCTTTCATGATAGGACTCTCCATGCTCTCTTGGTTTTTCTTCGTTTGTTTGTTTTTTTCACAGTCTCTTTGGTGGATTCCTCTATCTCACCTCAAAATATTGGCGCACCAGTGCCAGGGGCCACTTCTTAGCCTTCTCTCTGACAAAGTGGTCCCCAGAGCACCATAGCTTTAAATACCATCTACTTCCAGAAGCTGGAAGTCCAGTCCCAGCTTCTTCCCTGTTTGGCATCGTATTAGATCCTGGTGTCTAAAATGCATCTCAAACCTAACATGCCTGAAACAGAATTCTATGTTACTCCAAATCTGCTTTCTCTATGCTTCCTTATGAGGACTTAGAAGAACTTTAATATCATAATTTGTGGTTCAACATTTGTATTTCTGCAGTTTGCACTCTGAGGCTGCTTGCAGAGCACGACTCTGCTCCTTGGACTTGGGAACTGCCTGCAGAAAGAACAGCCCATGCTGTTTGACTTCTGTTGATGAGTAACCCAAACGCTTTTGTTCTACAAGCCTGAGGGGAACTAGGATGTTAATAAATGCCTAATCATGGGTTACCCACTGTACTTTTTTAAAAAGTATATTTTTATTGATATCAGAGAGGAAGAAAGAGAAAGAAGCATCAATGATGAGAAAGAGTCATTGATCAGCTGCCTCCTGCACTCCCCAAACTGGGGATCAAGCCTGCAACCTGGGCATGTGCCCTGACTGGGAATAGAACTGTGACCTCCTGGTTCATAGGTCAACACTCCATCACTGGGCCATGCTGGCTGGGCAGTTACCCACTGTTCTTGTAGCACAGCCCCACCTGCTGACCATTGAGTAAGCTGATGGTTAAAAAGTCCAGTTGTCCCCACCAATCAGAAAATGAATAATGCAAGTTTGTTGCCTTGTTTCCCCTAGCAACCCATCTCTTTGATCATTAGCTCCTTTCAACTTTTGCCTTTAAAATCCTGAACTTATCCCCTCCATTTTGTAAGATGTCTTCAGTTCATACCAGGGGTTACATCCCTGACTTGCAAATCATATATGAATAAAACTCTTTAAAATTTCTTTTGGAATTATCATGGGCCCAATATGGATCACTTTTGCCTAAGCCCATGACACCAAACCAAGATTTAATGCCTGACCTAATTGCTGTTTCAACTTTTCCTATAAATATAGTCTTAATCAGCTAGTCTGGAATATTCTTGTCAAGCACCAGTAAGGGAATCTATTACATGGGCCCTCTCCATTTCCCATAGAAAGAAGAGGCAATCTGCATAATAAAAACCTTGCCAGCTTTACATTCCAGAATGAAAATTAAAAAACAGCCCTGGCCAAGTCACTCAATTGGTTGAAGCATCTTCCTGATCTGCCAATATTGCTGGTCTGACCCCTGGTCAGGGCACAGACAAGAATCAACCAGTGGGTGCATAAATGAGTGGAACAACAAATCCATGTTTCTCTCCCTCTCGCTCTCCAATAAATAATAATTAAAACACAAAAACAACCTTGCCATTCCCTTCCCCCCAACTGTAGAGGTCCTGGTCTAAAAATAATATTTTTTGTTAATAGCCCTCTTTCCCTACCCTTCTTCTTATAAAAACCTTCCATTTTGTACAACTCCTGTGAGAGTCCTTCTAATTCAGCGGTTCTCAACCTGTGGGTCGCGACCCCTTTGGCGGTTGAACGACCCTTTCACAGGGGTCGCCTAAGACCATCCTGCATATCAGATATTTACATTACGATTCATAACAGTAGCAACATTACAGTTATGAAGTAGCAACAAAAATAATTTTATGGTTGGGTGACAACATGAGGAACTGTATTTAAAGGGCCAGAAGGTTGAGAACCAGTGTTGAGAAGCTGCTTGATTCATGAATCACTTAATAAAGCCAATTAGATAAAATTGGCTTGGTTGAATTTTGTTTTTTAATATCATCTACCACATCACTCTTTTACTTCACACAGGAGGAAAAGGGGGGTGGGTAGTATGGCTGTAAATTTTAAATAGGGGTTAGGGCAAGCCTTATCAAGACTGTGATATTTGAGCTAATACTT